TCTAGAAATTCACTATTCACACTTTCTCTTGTAAATTGTGTAACTTTGATGAAATCATCAATGTTTTCATTTCCACTGCCAACAATCAATGAGTTCATAGCATTACATCGTCTACATAGACACGAAAGATTAATAGATTTTCTTTTTTTACATTTTTTACAGTTTATGGATTCGTTAAATCCATCAAGTTCTCTTTTCTTAAAGGCCATTTTTAAATATGAACAGGATTAGATTTATGAATTTTAGATGATACAAAAAAAATTTTTATTTATAATAATTGAAAGAACCTTAATTTTTTACATTTGTGGAATGTTATAGAATTTTAGCGTCATACAATTAATAATTTTTCTAAGAATACATATGTTGAAATATGTCGTGTAAAAAACATTCGAAATAAAAAAAAGGGATATAAAAAGTAATATAATTGGAATATAAGCCAACACTGAATAAAGTTAAAATTCATTCTTTAAATTATTTATATTTATATGCAAAATTTTTTGAATAATAAAAAATTCATAAAACACATTAATTTACTTTTATTTGCTTTTAAATGAATCACTGACGAATACAAAATAACAAAATAACAAGAGAAAAATGACAAATCAACGATTAATAGAATTATTAAATTTTTTTTATTTATTCCTTCATTATCATATAAATGATCTTTTTTAATAACTTGAATAAACAAGATTCGGGAAACTATTAATCATTCTATTTGTGATTCCATTTTTTTTTCAGATCAGTAATCTGTTTAATATTGAATAATAAAATATATATTTTTGTGGAACTTTCCACTCGTCTAAATTTTTCTTTGAAGAACGTTGAGAATGTTCTACGTAACGCAAATTCAATAATAACATTAGTTTTTTTATTCAAATTAAAACTGCTACAAAAAAAAAAAAAAAAGTGATATTGTTCTTTAATGTATCGTATACTGAAAAATTTTTTTTTGAATAACCAAAAAATAAATTTATAAAAAATTAGAATCACTTCGCGTTCAAACCTTATATTGTTTTTAAATATATATGCATTCAAGTGGCCAATGCAAATTAAAAATAAATAATAACATAAAACATAACTAATAAAAAATTTAACGAAAACCTAATCTGTAACGAATGGAATGATAAAATAAATAAACTATAATGGTCTATAAATCATAAGTTTTTACATAACAATAATCTATAACTTTTCTTCGTCTGTTCTTTGAAAAACATGAACTTAACTTCAATGGTCTAAAAATGTTTTCTGGAATTTTCCACGCTTGAATTACTGCTTAAATTTTCTAAATCATTCGATTAAAAAAAATTATTAAATATAGATAATTAAAGATCAATTTATAAATAATTTGATTATCTCAAGCTAATTTCCTTTGTGACTGATTCCTCTGTTAATTTTTTAAAGTTGCTTTAAAATTTGACTGAGACCATCTTGCTCAATTTTCATTAAAAGGAACCCATTTTACATATATATCATAATTTTTTGAGAAGCGATGAAAGATTATTGCCACCGTTAACAATCAGATGAGTTCATAGTCGAAGTAATCTTTCATGTTTGCTGCATTTTGAATTCTAATCGTTTCTTTAGAAGGTTTGAACTTAACAAATTTATATTTTTTTAAGTCTGTTTTTCGGATATACTTCATGTTTATTCTATATCAAGTTATTATTAATAGACCGAGAATTTTTTACGGAGCAGAAATTCAAAGAATACTATGCAGTGAAACAAATGCGCAAGCGTTAAATTATTTATGTAACAAAAGACGATTTACTACATTATATATTTTATTATTCATTAAACGTTTCTTGATATATTAAAATTTTGAATATTTATTATAAACTGAAAAATACGTTGAACAATATTTAATGATCTCTAAAATCATACAACATTTTTTTTCTATTCAGAAGTTTTAACTGAATAGCAGAATTACTATGAACTGTCAAAGAAAACTTATTAAAATATTGCAATCATGACAAAAGTGTTTTTTCCTTGGAACAAAATCCTTTAACTGTTGGCGGTGGCAATGAGAACATTGATGATTTTCATTAAACGAACATATTAAAAAATATAAAATAAAATTTTAAGTTATCATTTTGAGTTTAAAAAAAAAAATGAATGCCATGGTGATTGGGCTTTAATTGTACCGGCGGAAACATAAGAATCATAAGATTGAATGCAGAACCAACCTTGACCACAATGTGATAAACCATAAGAGATGGATGATTAAGACGTCCCATTGCCATCAAGCATCCAAGAATATTTTTGGAAGGCATCATACCTTTGTCCACCCATCACCTATTATAAATATATAAATATAATAAATGTATGACATATAATAATATTTAAAAATATTCACAATAAAATTTATTATTTACATACTGTTTCGATTGAATCTGCAATTAAATCTCTACTTTGAAGAGAGAAGCACATTTCTCTTGTACCTATGCTAACACCATCACTTACACCCACGGTATTAAATCTATAACCGATCATTCCAGCTTCAACCACTCTTTCATTAACTTTTGATGTTAGATCAAAGAGATGCATATTACATGGATTGCCTTCATATCATCTACATATATTTATTATTAATATTTTTAATTATTGATATTTATTATTAATAACTAATAAACATAATATATTCAGTAAAATCAACACGTACACACTTGCTATACCAATTAGAGCTTTACCCGTGTCTTCAGGTTCAACCCTTTTCCGTATACTTTTTAATATCAACAGATAAATTAAACCTAGTAAATTAAAAATTAATAAATTAAATTAACAAAATTAAAATAAAAGAAAAATTAATAAGATAATTGGTACTCACATATAGCTTGAAAAGCACCTTGGGATTTAGGTTGGGTGATACGTTTACTATAATTATTTATTTTTACATTTTTGGATGAATATCGTAATTGTTGTCTTATAGCTTCTCTGGTTATCTTATGTCTATTTTTATTTTTAATTTTTTTTTTTAAATTTTTTAATTTTTTGATTTTTTGATTTTTTTTAAAATTTAATTTTTTTAATTTTAAAAAATTTAGTTTAGTAATATAATTTTTTTTTAAAAGAGGAGTTAAATATTAAGATATAATGTATTTGTCCTATGAGTTTACTTGCTGCGTTGGATTTTCTTGTAAAATGAGACGTTTTCATAAAATTTAAAAAAAAAATATTATCCCAAAAAAGCACCCAAGATAATCGATAAACATTTGCGGAATCAAAATTTTGTAGTCTTATTAGGATGGGACACCATTGAAAATAGATGAATAAGACCAATCAGATCGTCAATAAATTATAATTCCTGCCATTTTTTGTTCATGTGATATATATAAATCCCACGTGAAGAAAATCAATTATCTAATTCGTCCATTTTAGGTTACAAACACTGTGACCAATATGATTATCATATCGATCTTTTTTTCTTTGTACCTTCATCGGGTACCAATTTTTTTTTTAATAAATAATTAAAAAATGAGTGGCCATCAAGATGTACGTGCCAAAGCCATTCAACAATTATGGGACAGAGGAATCCAAACTGCAAAAGAAATACAAAGACGAACGGGTATTCATATTATAATATTTCTAAATTAAAAAAAAACCGGTAGTATTAGTTACCGAAATCGTAGTGGTCGCCCTCGAAAAATCTCTTCCCGAAGCTCAAGTTTTTAGTCAAACAAGTAAAAACTGATCTGTTAATTTCAACAAAAGCACTGACCACAAAACTTTTAACAAAAGAAGTTCAGGTCTCGCACGTAACCGTTTGGAAGAGCTTGGCTATTCGAGCAGAGGTAACGCTAATGCGAACACATGCAAAAGCGTATAGCGTGGGCAAAAAAAGACAATGACCCTAAGCATGCAAGTCAAGTTGCAAAAGAATTTCAGAAAAAAAATGCCTCAATAGTAATCGATTGCCCATCTAATAGTCCCGACCTCAACCCAATAGAAAATTTGTGGATTATAGTTAAGGGAAAGGTCGAAAAACGTTGGCCAAAAAATTTAATTGAATTAGAGTGATTTTATGGCAGAAGAATGGAAAAAAATCAGTATTTTAGCGAACTTGGTGAGATCCATGAAAGAACGATGCAAACTTGTAATTGAAAAAAAATGGGAACGTTTCCCATATTAAATGTATTAAATTTTTTTTTAAATAAATCTTTAATCATTCGGCTTTCTAATGAGCCATTGCACACGCTGGATTATTAACACGTGAAGTTGTCCAAAGACTTTCTTACTGCACTGTATGTTTAGTATTGCAAAGGTCATTTATAGTTATCTTAGGGTATCTTTGAGAATTAAACAACCTAAAACTTTAAATACTCCATGTACACCAACCTGCCAAAAGTATCCGGGCAACAATTTTTTTGTCAAATTTTTAAAAAATTTTAAGGATGAATTATA